TTTAGGTTGCTTGCATGTCATCCTGTTTTTGTTTACAGCTTACATTTTTCCTGCCTGTGTTCCTCTCAGAGTATGGTTCTGGTCCCCTGATGTTACACTTGGTTACCTGTCCCATGTGGACTCTGAAGTCCCAGCACCTACCATCCTGAACTGGTCTCTACTTCTCTCATGCTGCATAGCCTCAGCCTCTGCTAATGGCTGTATTATTCTCTCCATTCTTTGTCAAAGATTTCCTTTGAGTTTGACTGTTTTTGCTTTTTTTTTTTTTTTTTTTTGAGACGGAGTCTTGCTCTGTTGCCCAGGCTGGAGTGCAATGGCTAGATCTCAGCTCACTGCAACCTCTGCCTCCTGGGTTCAAGCAATTCTCCTGCCTCAGCCTCCCGAGTAGCTGGGATTACAGGTGCCCACCACCATGCCTGGCTAATTTTTGTATTTTTAGTAGAGACAGGATTTTGCCATGTTGGTCTGGCTGTTCTGGAACTCCTGACCTCAGGTGATGTGCCTGCCTTGGCCTCCCAAAGTGCTGGGATTACAGTCGTGAGCCACCGCGCCCGGCCTGTTTTTACATTTTTAATATTTGTTTAGCAATTTTTGGCATTGGGAGTTGAGAGGGCAGAATTATAGGTGTGCTTGCGCCTCTAGTTGGAATGCAAGTCTCTGGGTATCTTAGTCTGTGCTGTTATGACAAAATACCTGAGACTGGGTAATTTATAAAGAACAGAAATTCATTTTCTCACAGTTCTAGAGGTAAGAAGTCCAAGATGAAGGTGCTGGCAGGTTCAGTGTCTAGCAAGGGCTGCTTTCTTCTTCCAAGGTGGTGCCTTGTTACTGCATCCTCACACGGTAAAAAAGCCAGGTTGTGTGAAGCCTCTTTCACTAGGGGCTTAATCCTATTCACGAGGGAGAAGCTCTCATGACCTCATCACCTTCTAAAGGCCCCACCTCTTAATATGCTGCATTGGAGGTTAAGTTTCAGTATGAGTTTGAGAGGGACACAAATATTCAAACTTACAGGAGGCATGCTGATTGGGAAACACCAGTGCTTCCTCCTCCACTGAGGGGCCTTCTCCAGGTCTCCACACTCAACCCTGTCACATTCTGAATGCTGGAGGGTCCGCATCTCCAACACCACTTTGGTTTCCTGTGCCCAGACTACCAAACTACATGGATTTTTAGTTCAGGTTTATTCTCAACTAGGGAGATCCAAAGTCAGGAGCCAAAATGAAGGGAGATTGCAGACCCAGTTCGTCCTGGTGACTGTTACCATCTGAATTGATTTCTCACTGACCCTAAGTAAAACTGAGGGTCATTGTGAAGGATCTGGTATCTTATCTCTTCTCACGATGAAAATGAGAATGACCCCTTGAAGTGTTTGTCCTTCACACACTTTTTTGTTAGGGAAGAACAAAGATTTTGTTCAGAGATCTCTATTGTGGATGGTAAGCCTCATTCCCACCATCCTAGACTGATTTTCCCCCTCTGTGAGTGCACAGATGCCTCATTACTAACCACAGTCACAGAGCAAGGTAAGCAAGTCAGGTTCAGGTCAAATTAAAGATGCTGCTCTCTCTGCACAAGTGTTCAAAGTTTTACGTTTTACCTACCCCGAGGCAAGCCATATGAGGACACCGTCTGGGTTGGCTCACCCTACATGGGAGGACCAGCTCTTAATGGTTCAACTGGAGCCTTTCTCTCTGTGGTTCCAACTGGCCATATAGCCCTTCCTTCTTCATGAAAGCTGGACGGTTCCAAGTAAATGTAGGAATAGAATCCGATCCATCTCCAGTGGTTGAAATGGCTTCTGTCATGTCTTGGTTCATTCTGATGGTAACCCTCAGAACTGAGGCTGGCTGGGCGCAGTGGCTCACGCCTGTAATCCCAGCACTTTGGGAGGCTGAGGCAGGTGGATCACTTGAGGTCACGAGTTCAAGACCAGCGTGCCAACATGGTGAAAACCCGTCTCTACTAAAAACACAAAAATTAGCCAGGTGTGGTGGTACACGCCTATAGTCCCAGCTACTTGGAAGGCTGAGGCATGAGAATTGCTTGAACCCAGGAGGCAGAGGTTGCAGTGAGCCAAGATTGTGCCATTGCACTCCATCCTGGTCAACAAAGCAAGACTCTGTCTCAAAAAAATAAAAAATAAAAAAAATAAGAACTGTGAAGTCTCAGTGCCACAGCTCTGTGGTAAAGGGTTGCTGCTTGCTTTAAAAGTTGGGCCATTTCCAAATTATGCACGCACAGGAATCACCTGGGAGCTTGTTGAAAATGCAAATTCTTTGGCCTCTACTCCCAGAGACCAGTTCAAAGGTTGTACCCGGGAATCTGCCTTTATCCCCCTGTGCACTGAAGTCAGCTTTTGTTTCTTGCTTCTGTTACACGGCAGTCTCAGGGCAGCTGTGGCTCTGCCCTACACATCTACATTGCAGCCTCCAGGCTGAAGGAGCAGCTCTAGTTAGACCAGAAATCTGTACTTTCAACAGCAATTCTGGTGATTCTGAATCACGCCTTGAGCCATACTGCCTTAAGTCATTTTATGTATTTTTTTCTTTTTTTTTTGGACTCTCTTTTCTCCAGAGCAGGAGTCCTCTGCCTCCTGGTCACCCACGGCCTCAGCTAAGTAGCTGAATAGGCGCCGCCACCACGGGCTATTTTTGTGGACGTCACCATGTAGCCAGATATCTCCTCCTCGGATCCACCGCCTCGGCCTCCAAGGCGGATTACAGGCTTGAGCCACCCGGCCTTTTTTTTTTTTTAACAGGTCTTGCTCTGTCACCAGGCTGGAGTGCAATGGCACAATCTGGCTCACTGACCTCTGGGTAAGCATTCTCCTGCCTACCAAGTAGCTGGGATTACAGGCACACACCACCATACCTGGCTAATTTTTGTATTTTTTTGGTAGAGATGGGGTTTTGCCATGTTGTTCAGGCTGGTCTCCAACTCCTGAGCTCAGGTGATTCACCCACCTCGGCCTCCCAAGGTGCTGGGATTACGGCGTGAGCTACCACACCTGGCCTGCCTTAAGTCATTTTAAAGGCTAGTAAATAGAATTAAGCACTCGTTTCTGTCAGACAAATAATTTCATTGCACATCTAAAGCCTCCAAAGATAATGTCCTTTATTCTGCTAATTTTCTAGGTGTTCATAGATTCCCCTCCTGTTTGATTACAGATTCTACTAGCAAATGACACCTGCCACAGTCCTTAGCTCTTTTGAGGATAGTGTAGTGGCGATTCAGCAAGCTCGCTCCTTCGGCCATCTGCTCAGCCTTAGTACTACAGGCGCGCACTCGCCGGCTAGTTTTTTTTTGTATTTTTTAGTAGGACTTTACGTTTAGGATGGTCTCGATCTCTGTGTATTCTCGTGTGGGTTACAGGCTTGAGCCAGCATCCTTTACTAATAGGATTATAGCTCACATTTGTGGAGCTCTTGTATATACCAGGCACCATGCTAAGCAGTTCACATTGATAATCCTATTTCTTCTGCTATGATATAAACAGGGTTCCACTCTGTGGCCTAATAGGGGCAGCAACAACTCTGATGACCTGGAAGAACTCAGCCCTGTCACTCTTGCCTTTAGGTGGCTGCTTGGCAGTCCCCAGTGACTTTCTCTAAGGACCCTGAAGCAAGCTTTTCTCCTAAAGTAATTGTACTCGATTTTTCTACGTGCTGCAAATATTTTCTTCCATTATCTGTCATTTGTGTTTTAACCTTGATGTTTTCCATCACACAGAGACTTTTGATATTTTTTGGTGCAAAATCTGCTTATCTTTTCCCTTATTATATCTTTTAAGTCTCATGTTAAAGTTTAGAAGACTGTCCCACACCAGAGGTATAACATTTTTTTGAGTAATTTTGTATATTACTTAAGTATATCTGTAATTAAGTGTATCTTCCCTCTGGAACTAATTTGTATGGACACTGTGAGGTAGAGACCTAACTTACTTTGTGGGTTTTTTTTTTAGATGGAGTCTTGCTCTGTCGCCCAGGCTGGAGTGCAGTGGTGTGATCTAAGCTCACTGCAACCTCTGCCTCCCAGGTTCATGTGATTCTCCTGCCTCAGCCTCCCGAGTAGCTGGGATTACAGACACATGCCACCATGCCTGGCTAATTTTTGTATTTTTAGTAGATACGGGGTTTCGCCATGTTGGCCAGGCAGGTCGAACTCCTGACCTCAAGTAATCCACCTGCCTTGGCCTCCCAAAGTGCTGGCATTACAGGCGTGAGCCATCGCACCTGGCCGAGATCTAGCTTTGACAGCTAGTTGTCTCAAAGTACTGTTTATTAAATAATCCACCTTTTTCCCCACTTAAAACATCCCTCTTACCATATACTAAATTCCTGTAGCCCTGGGTCTGTTTCTGGACTCTCCTGTCTGTCTGACCCCCTCCAGGTCACACCTGAGGTAATGGTGGCATGAGAGTTCTCTGGGAACCTGGCAGGACGTGTGCCTTTTCCCCCTCAGCAGTCCACCCCCCACTCATTATCATTCAGAGTAGTCTTAGTGTTCTCACACATTCACTCTCCCAAATGCACTTTAGAACTGTCAAATTCCAAAGTACCAATCTCATTGGAATTATACTGAATTTATCAGCTGATGTGGGGAAAACCAGTATGTGGACAGGAACATGATGTATATCATTGGGTCGACTTACAGAATACTCTTAACAGGTCTTCAGTTGATTCTTAGGTTTTACAGGTAGGCAGTTTTATTGTCTACAAATAATGACAATTATAATTCTTCCTTATTTTCCTCATTTGGCTTGTTGCAGAGGTTAGTAGTGCCGGGACATTGCTGAATAATAGCATGCCCTTGGCTAGTTTCTGACTTTAATGGGAATGCCTGTGGCATTTGACTCTTCAGAATGCCAGTAACTGTTGGTTTCTGAAACAGACCTTTATCTAGATTAGGGTGTTTCTTTCCAGACTTAATTTACTAAGAGTTTTAATAAGGGATGGATTTTAAATCTTACCAAATTATCTTTTCAGCATCTATAGAGCTATCATAAAATTTTCTTTATTAATTGAAGCTGAAATGAAGGCTCCTGCGCAGCCATACTGCCTCCTCATATACTCTACATACCCCTAGTCCCCTGTGCCAGTAACTGAACACCTCTGCAGGATAGACCAAAGGTGAAGCTTTAAGGCCTGCCTGCTAGGCGTGATGCTGAACGCCTTCTCAAGCTGCCCAAGCACATAGGGTCTTGGAGGCTTTCCTTTCCAGAGAAAGAAAGCAGGACCAATCCCCACCCCCTGCCATAATAAGAGCGAGCTCTTGGGGACAGCAGTGTACAGAGCATAGAAGCCAAAGAGGATTCAGGCAGGGTGGAGGACCCCATGCCCCTGCCACCACCCCACAAATCAGTACATAGGCCAAGTGCCTAGTTTGCCAGGGGTCTTGCTACCTGAAGTGACCTATGACCTCTGGCCATGACAATCTCTAGCGAGTCCTTCCTGCCACTCTGCAGCCTCTTAGCCAATGCATGCAGGCCAGGCGGCACTTACAGCAAAGCCATCACAGAAAGCAGCGAGGCCATCAGACTCCTAGGAGAAACAGTGATTCCTTCTACTGCTCCACCCCCATTGCTAACTCTGGGTCCCCATCCCTGTCCACCCAGAGTCACTCTGATCCTGCTCATCACACCAGGACATGGAGTCTCTACGTAACCAAAGGATTCCCTTAGAGCTGGCTGTTGCCCACGGTGACCCTGATGCCAGGCTGTTACCCACTTAGCCTCCCTTACGTCTTCTGTCTGCTTCCACTTCTCCTATATCCCCTTTTGGAAAAAGGATGGGTGCCTGAGCCTGTGCCCAGTTGGGTGTCCACTCACAACCCGAAGCAGAGCCTGGCACTGCCCACTCTGACCAAGGGCCTTCTCTCCCTGATCTCACTGACATCTGCCCTATTTACCCATCACTGGGTTTGTGGGTTGCCCCCAAAACACAGCAGCAGCAATAAACAGAAAATGAGGGCAGAGCCCAGTGTGTCACAGTTCTGGGAGGCAGATTGGGATGGGATACCCATGTGGCCTGTCCAACGATCTTCATGTTAAGAGGCCATCTCTGTAAATGAATTTTCTCTTCAGGCCACAAGAAGCCCTAACCCAAGCGGAGGCGAAAGGTAGCAATCTCCATGGGCTCCAAATAGACGTCAGTGCTGTTGGATGGGGAGGCCAGAGGGTACAGCAATGTCAAGGAGGTTGGCTGAAGGAATACCACGTCCAGGCCATGGAAAAGGCTCCCCAGGGCTACCTGTGGAGAGGAGAGAAGGTGCAGGGTTGTGCTGGGTGCCGAGACACTAAAGAATGCAGCTGTTCATCTACAATTTGTTAACTCTTTAAGAATCTCAGCCAGGTGCGGTGGCTCACACCTATAATCCCAGCACTTTGGGAGGCAGAGGCAGGTGGATCACCTGAGGTCAGGAGTTCGAGAGCAGCCTGGCCAACATGGTAAAACCCAGTCTCTACTAACAATACAAAAATTAGCTGGGCGTGGTGGCAGGCGCCTGTAATCCCAGCTACTCGGGAGGCTGAGGCAGAAGATCCCTTGAACTGGGAGGTGGGGGTTGCAGTGAGCTGAGATCATGCCACTGCACTCCAGTTCCGGCTGGCCCCTCTCAGCAACACCACAGCTTCTTACACATGAGTGTGCATCCAGTATCATGGGCTTGCTGAGATTTGCTCAACCATAAAGCCTGCCTACAGATCTCCAGGTAAGAATCGTTCCACTGAGCTGTGAGCTCTGTGAGAACAGTGACCATGTCTTGGTTCACTTCTGAAACACTGGAGCCCAGCAGAGGACCTGGTGCCCGGGGACATTTATCAGTGCCGGCTGATATGAGCTTACAAAGTAACTAACAGGATGGGTTCTGGTTTTCTATTTCTGGTGTTTTCTACTTTGCCTGACAGAGGTCCCTGCTCAGGGAACAACAGTTCTCAAGTGATCTGCCTTGTCTGGAACTTCCCCTGCTAGGCCGCGGGAGCTCTGAAAACATGTCCACAGCTTCCCCGCTTCTCTCCAGAAAGCCCTGGAGTGACACTTTCTTCTCCCAGCCTGTCACCGAATCTCAGCCCAGTCTTACCAAGCTCACGCCTGCCGTTCCCAGGTGTTCTGCTTCCCCACCCTACTCACCTTGCCTTGGCTTGTGGTGCAATTGAAGCCCAAGTTCTTGGCTTCCAGGCCGCAGTCAAAACCCTTGCGGTGTAAGATGAGTGCCATCTCCACTGAGGGCAGGGTGTCCTCCTGGATGACAGACAGTGCCCAAGGAAGTGGGTGCAGGGCTTTCAGAGATTGGAGATGCAGCAGCACCTCTGCCCAAAGGCAGTGCTGGCACAGGGAGGCATGTGGGTAAGAAAAGACCAGAACCTGGTCCTGGAGGTTCAGAGCTGAGTACCTGCTAAGGGGTCTGGACTTTATCCTGGAGGCTAAGGAAGGAGCTGAGCAGGCAAGGACACCATCAGAACTCTGCTCTCAGCGTGTCACACTGAGGGACACTCACCTCAGCCTGCAGCGTACGTAGGTTGAGCAGGTGGAAGTCACAAGGCAGTGAGGAAGCCAGCGGATGAAATGAGCGCAGACCAGGGCCTGGGAGCTGCGTCCTGGCTACAGGCAGAGCGAGCGCCGGGGTGTTCAGGTACATGGAGGTCAGGTGGCTGAGGAGGGATGGGTAGCTGGTAGAGTGGCTATCTTGGACCTGCAAGATTGACCCGAGATATTAGTGAGGGACTGAAGCCAGGCTGAGGGGAGAGGATGAGGCAGGATAAAAGCACACCCAGGTCAGTTCCTTTGGAAAGAGCTTTCCTGGTGTGCCTGGACTCAAGGGTGTGCCTGGCTCCAGGCGAGGTTCCCCTAACCCTTCAAGTGTGGACATTTGCCATCTCACCCAACTCGGAGGGCTATTTCACTACGCCGTTTCTTTTCCACGTTTTAGTTTCTTGTTCACATAACACTATCATGAGCAACCCACTCCCATCAGCCATATCTCCCCTCACACACAGATCCACAGTGCAGGGAGGATGGCAGACAGGCAGACGCAGGCCTCACCATGGAGCACGGGCCTCCAATCCAGAGTGCTCGGGGTCATTCTGTGGCTTCATGCATGACACCACATCCACAGTGCCAGCCGGGCTCTCAGGCCCAGCGCTGCCGGGGCTCTGCCAGCAGGGTTACTCCTTAGCAGCTCACCTGGACGTCAGACTCACAGGCCTGGGCTGAATATTCTGGACTTCTGTCCCTGGCGTCCCCCTCCTTCCAAGCGCCTAGCATCTCTCACTTCCCTCTGCATTCCCAGGTAATGCTAAACCCTCTTCCGTCTCACCTCGGCAGTGTCCTCATAGCCACCTGCAACTTCTCCAGCCTCTGGCCTAGTTCAAGCAGCCAGCATGTCCTGCCTGAACAGCCTCACACTGTCACCCTCCTCCAGTCTCCCTTCCCACAGGTCCAACCTGCTCCCTACTGTCAGCGTGACATGCTGAGAGCAGAGTTCTGATGGTGTCCCTCCTTGCTCAGCTCCTTCCTTAGCCTCCAGGATAAGGTCCCGACCTCTTAGCAGGCACTCAAGGTGCTCTGCCACCTGCCCTGATCTCCCCCCAGCACTCTAGCCCAGCACCAGCCAAGAGGGCATTCTGCAAGGATGGAAATATGTGACCCCACATGGTCTAATACAGCAGCCACTTAGCCACTTGTGGCCACTGAGTACTTGAAGTGTGGCCAGTGGAATAAGAAAGCAAATTTTTTACTTGATTTAGTAGTATTTAAATAGCCACATAGGGCTACTGGCCACCGTACTGGACAGTGTAGTTCCAGTGTAACTAAGGAACTCACTGCTGTTCCCCAGCCTGCTGTCTTTCCTGCCTCCTACCCTGTGCCCTGGTTCACATCTTCAAATCACACCCCCATTCATCAAAGCCACACCTGGGTGACACCTCCTCGACCTCAATCTCCTTAGCCCACATTATTACCTTGCTCCTCGGGATCAGTGAGACAGAGCCCTTTTCTACCTTGCATTTTTATACACATGGCTTCTCTGCCACCCCTACTCACGAGTAAAATCCTGGGAGAGTCAGCACTGTCTGCACTTATGTCCCTCTGGGTCCTCACAGTAAACCAGGTGCTCAATATCTATCTGATGCACGAGTGACTGAGCGGCGGGCTCTGTCACCTGGGCTCCGGCGCAGCTATGCCTTGCTCATACTAGTTCCCCGCTCCCAGAGCCGACCCCTTACCTCTCGGTTACCGCTCCTGCTGCTGTGAAAGATCAAGCCCCTAAACATGGCTGCCAGTTTGGAGAAAAAGTCAGGCTGGTGGGGCAAAGAAAGCCATGAGATGAGCAGGGTTGGAGCACAGGCTTAGAGAATGCTGGGACAGGGCAGAGGAGGGCAGCACAGAGGAAGGTGGGAGATGAACATGAGGGGCACAGGCGACAGGGCGCTGCTGGGAAAGGAAGGTGCCAGGCTGCGTGAGATGGGACACAAAATGCCAGACTGCCTCCCCCAACCCCAGGAATTCAGCCCTACTCTCTCTCCCTTGTCCACCTCTAGCTACGTTCCTCGAGCCCCAGGCTGGACCCCCCCAGGCCACCCCCAGGGACTAGCTAGACCTGGCTCCCTGTGTGTCAGCCCCAGGTGTTACCTCGCTGCCCACGGTTCGCCGCTCTAGCAGGAGGCGGAAACGGTTGCAGGTTCTCTTGTTGTCCTTGAGCCCTTGGCCTAGGCCCCTGTTGTCATCCTGCATTAGCCGCCGGTCCAAGATCACCTCCAGCTGGCCTGGGGAAGCAAACAGTGAGTGCTGGCCTGCCCCCACCCCCAAGCAGACACTGACCTTTAGAAGGAGAATCCCAGCCACAGACCCTGAGGGAAAAGCCCAGCTGGAGAGACAGAAGCTGAATCACTCAGGAGAGGAGGTCACGGGTTCCCACAGCTGGGAGGGAACCTGATGAGGGGCTGGTCCTGTGCAGCCTTATTTTGCAGATGAGGAATCATGAGGCCCAGAAAGGGGCAGGCTGGCCCTGGCAGTTTACCCCCAAAGCTCTGGGATTCAGGAGTAGGGACCAGGCCTAGGGGCCCAGGCAGGAAACTGAATCAGGATGGGTTACATACAACGAAATAAACCAGAAACGAAAAACTTTGATCAACAGCCACTGATAGTGTTGCTGCATACCTCCGTAATCTGGGGCAGGTTTGCTCAGGTTGGGCAGGTTTTGTTGTGACTAAAACACAGGCTCTCCTGCCCTTGTTCTACACTGGACAGCCAGACAGCCCCAGCAGGCCAGATTCAAACTCTGACTGCCTGTTAAAAGTAGGGCTATGGAAAGGACAGCCAGATGGCAAGTCAGGCAGAGGCTCATATTAAGTGTCATCTGGGGTTGCCCCAGGAAAAAGAGATGGCACGTGACCACCTTTGCTTTCTTTTCTAGAGTATGCTTGGAGCAGGGGCTCGGTGCACGGCTGATGTGTTGGGGACAGAGGCCCCCGTGTGTGCAGGTGTTGGAGGTGGGTGCAGCTGTTCTTATACAAGATCTCGAGGGAAACCACACCAGCTGCCCTACATTCCACCGGGACATATGGCCCTATTCTCCCTTTCACCTCTCCAGTCCTTACTGACTTGCATAGTTGCTCAGTCTTTTTACCCAGGACAATCACAGAAAGATGTCTGAAAATCCTAAAATGGATCCCTTGTATAGAAGACAGTCATTTTTTCATACACCACATCCCAGAGGGGTAGAGGAGAAAATCCAGTCAGGGATATTGGGCTGCTGTTAGGAGTCATGACATAGATGGACCAGGGGCTGCTACTGGCAGAGAAAGGCACACTCCTCCCAGCAGGGAGTCAGGCCCCTGCACTCACCAGCCATCAGACCACGCCTAGCCTTGACTGGGTGCTCTCGACTCAGCCCTTCGCAAGGGCTCTTCCCAGAGATAGATCTCAAGGGCCTCAGATGCTACCAAGTGCAAACTGTTCATTTTGCTCTGAGGATATGGGGGCCACACAGAGATTGCCAACATGACCAGCTGCCCGGGTCTGACTCCAGGCCAGTGCTCCCAATGCCCATTTTGATTCTTAAGAACATCAGTCTTGGCCGGGCACGGTGGCTCACACCTGTAATCCCAGCACTTTGGGAGACTGAGGCAGGCAGATCACAAGGTCAGGAGTTCAAGACCAGCCTGGCCAGCATGGTGAAACCCCATCTCTACTAAAAATACAAAAATTAGCTGGGCATGGTGGTGGGCGCCTGTAATCTCAGCTACTCAGCAGGCTGAGGCAGGAGAATCGCTTCAAACCGGAAGGTGGAGGTTGCAGTGAGCGGAGATCGCACCACTGCACCCCAGCCTAGGCGAAAGAGTGAAACTCCATCTCAAAAAAAAAAAAATGGCGGCCTGCTCAAGCTGTATCAGACTTGGAGCACGGATACAGGTGGAATCGAACCATCCTGGCATACTGAACCTCTACAAAAAAAAAAAACTAGCCGGCGGGGGGGCGCTGTAGTCCGCTACTGGGAGGCTGGGGAGAATGGGGAACCCGGGAGGCGGAGCTTGCAGTGAGCCGAGATCGCGCCACTGCACTCCAGCCTGGGTGACAGAGCCAGACTCCGTCTCAAAAAAAAAAAAAAAAAAAAAAAAAAAAAAATGTCAGTCTCTCTTTTAATGATCACTAGTAGGAAAACAGTATCTATTTCTCTCATTTCCTTAATATTTCATAACACTGAGTGCACTTTACAAGCTGTCCCTACTCTCATCCCTGCCCAGAAGAGGGTTGTACACCTCAGCTGAGAATCACTGTTCAATATCCTGATGCTTCTTGCCTTTTTTTTTCAGACTGGGTCTTTCTCTGTCACCAGGCTACAGTGCAGTGGCACAATTTGGCTCACTGCAGCCTCCAACTCCCAGGCTCAAGCAATCCTCTCATCTCAAGTCTCCTGAGTAGCTGGGACAATAGGCACGTGCTACCACATCCAGCTAATTTAAAATTTTTTTTTGTAGAGCCTGGGTCTCACTTTGCTGCCCAGGCTGGTCTCAAACTCCTGGCCTTCTGCCTTGGCCTCCCAAAGCTCTGGGATTACAGGAGTGAACCACTGCGCCTAGCTTTGCTTTTTGACATTTTTTTTTCTTTTTTTGGCCCCAAGAGTCGTAACCCTGACAGTTCTTCAGGGGATCCAGTAGGACACTCCACCCAGTTGCCTATACTGCTGCCTCCATCAGGGGACAGGGGGACAGCAGGTGCCTGCCTCATGTGCCAAGAGCTCTGAATGGCTCGCCCCCTCTCCAAGCATGGAGGTGATGCAGACCAGAAAGAGGCAAGGGAGGCAAACAGAGAGGGGAGCCCTTGAGGGTGGGGACGGGCTTCTTTTTGTCTGATACCTTCTGCAGAGCTCTGGGCCCTACTCACCATCTTTGAGGCTAGAGACACCCAGGGCCTGGGCAGTGTGCAGTGTGAGGCGCTTATGTGCGTCCTGGATATAGGCCATGACTGGCATGGGATAGAAGTTGGCCTGGAGGGGGAGCTTCTTCAGATACCGTCGGGGCTGCACCTGTGGGGGCAAGGGCAGCAGATCAAGGGCACCAGGTGGGCCCCAAGCAGACCCCAGATGGAAGGAGTCCCTGATCACTCTCGCCTCTTCATTCCTCTTTCTCCATCAGGACAGATCATCCCCCAGGGCCTGTGATAGGGTCAAAAGCACAGTCCAAGTTCTACTCTGTGGGGTCTCCGAGACCCAGGCCCAGGAGTCACCTGAAAGCCATTGAGGTCTGTGAAGAAGATACCCTGGCTGTCGATGTCTGTATGGATGCGCAGGGCCAGCTCCTTGTTGACGTAGTCCCGGATGTCCACCAGGGATGATATGTCCAGAGACAGCCCCTCCACCCCTGGGCACAGGAACAAAGTGGTGGCATGGAGAGGTGTGAGGCTGAACCACAGCTAAGAGGCTGGGCTGGGGGATCAGAGCCGAGCTGGGGAGAGGCTCTGTCCACCCTCCCAAGAAATTCCCAGGGCATTTCTGGATGACTTTTTCTCTAAGAGAATGGAGCATCCCTGTCTCAAATGATATGGAACAGAGGTATGAACAGAGAAGCAGCAGAAGGAAGAACACGCCACAGCTGTAGAGCCCACACCTCCTTCCAGATAATTCCTCATGGGCGGGGCTCACCTGGCAGATTGTAAAGCCGGACCACCTGGTGAACATGCTCGTAGTATGCAACCACCTCTGAGAAGAAAGGGCCTTCAGTGACATGCAGCACAGGGGGCTCCTTGGGGACATAGGGCTGGGGAAAGAGCAGACTGCTATCGAAACTATGGCACAGAGGGCAAAGCAGGGAGGTGCCAGCCCAGGGCTGGGCAAGAGAGCACCTATTCCTAGATACCCCCGGGCTGAACAGGAAAGACAAGGCCCCTGGCAGGCAGCAATAAATCTGTGGGAAGGCCTGTGCCCCCTCCTGCCCTCCCTGCTGGTGAGACCTCCCAGGGCCTGCCAGGTTGTTCAAGGCATATTTAGCATACCTTGGCCTCGCCATCGGGCAGGAAGAGGTAGGCTCCACTCTTGTCTTTGGACGTACGGGTGCCATAGACTAGGAATTCCATGTCCACCTGCTGCTCCTGCTCCTCATCCACCCTTCGGATGCTCTGCCAAAAAACACAGCCCTGACCCCTGGCCCCACACCAGCATGTCAGGCCTGCCTCCTGGGAGGACATGGACTAGCTTCCCCAAGGAGCCACGCCCAGCTTCCCCATGCTGTCAGGCTGGAGCTGAGATGTCCCAGGCCTGGGTCCACTGTGGGTCAGGTGGCAGAATGCTCAAAGGGCCGGGAGGCCACTCTGCACAGTGCCACCACCACACACACCCTGCTCTGGCCCCTGGCCCTTCCCCACCACCCTGGCCTTTTACCTTGAGGAGCCCAGTAAGGCCTGAGAACCAGACCTGCATGTAGCGGTTGCTGAGGGCGAAGTCACTGCTGCCAGAGTCAATGACGCGGAGAGGGAACGCTTCGTGCCTGCTGACAGACAGCTGCCGGCCGTGCAGGTAGACACGCACAGAGGAGGGCAGCGTGCGGTGCCCATCCAGGCCCAGCTGTAGCTGCAGCATGCCCAGGCCCAGGGCTGGCAGGCGGACAGGCACAGACACCTGTGGGCACAGGAGGGGTGAGGAAGTGGGGGCATGGCATTCGCCACAGGGGTGCTGGGGCATTTGCTTACTAACAGAGGGCGTGAGCAAGTCCCTGTACCCACTGGGGCCTCTGCCCCACCTCCAAAGTGGAGGTGATATGATTTGCCCTTTCTTCCTCTTCAGACGTTATGATTCTCAAGTGATATTTGAAAAAGTATGAAGTGGTAACCACACATTAAGCTTTCAATATACATCGATTGACTGAATGATGGGGCATTATAACTGCTATTTTTACCATTACTATTACCATACCAACCTTCCCCTTCTTTTCAAGGACAGACTCAAATCCCAAGAGTACCTGTCTGCTGGACAACCCCCTTCCCAGCACACCTGTCCTCAGCCTGGGGAGTAAGCAGGGCCACAAGCAGGAGGGTGGGAAGCTGGCGTCAACAGGCGGGGAGGGGCCCACGATGGGCAGAGGGCCAGGCTCACCTGACGAGCCCGCACCTCACCTGGTAGACATCAGGGACCACCTCGGTGGCAGAGCTCCAGTGTGCGCTGATCTGCACGGCCAGGGGCTGACCCTCCTCCGAAAGGACACGCACACGGGGCGAGTTGACCAGCAGGGACACCATGCTGAACCGCTCCTGTTCCAGCGGGTTGAATAGCACCACAAACCTGTGCATAGAAGGTGGGCTGACCCAGGAGGCCACTACTTCCGGTCAGGGCAAGCACCCTGCAGTGGTTCAGCACACACTGGGGCAGAGGGGCCTGAGAGCCAGGGAATGGCTCTGCCTCTCTGCACCTGGTGTAGTCCAGCTTACCTGGGCGAGGAATCCAGCTGGATCACCGTGCGCTCTGGCAGGGCGTCGTGACTTAAGCGAGTGTCATCCTGGAATTCAGTGGGCCAGAAGGGAAGAACCATCATGGGCTCAGCCTCCTCCCACCCCGCCTGCCCCGGGTGCGGACCAGCAGCTGCACTGGGCACAGAACTCATTCAGGTGGGGAAGGAAAAAGAGGAGTGGCACCCTCATCCAGTAGCTCTTGGGATGCCACCTGCACACACCGGAGGGTCCCCATGCAGACCCAGGAGGGGCTCACCACTTGGAGGAAGGGTGCCTCAGGGTCAAAGTGGTAGGTCTCCTTGTCCCCCAGCACCAGATAGTGAGCTGCATGAATGATGACCTGCTTCAGGTTGACAAGGGAGCGCAGAAGCCTGTGGGTGGTGCAGGAGAGGGAAGGAGAGATGATCATAGGGAAGCCGTCTGCTTTTTCAGCAGGACAAGCCCTAGGCCGACCTATCCCCTGACCACCCAACATCCCTTTGGGACAGTGAGCGGGGGACCTGACAAGGGAGAAGAGAAGGCTCCCACCTGACCCCATAGTCCACCACCACGGCCTCCTTGGCAGTGCCAGTGATGGCGTCGTGATGCTGGAAGAGCCCCAATGTGCGCCGAGCTTCCGTCAGGAGGGTGAAGTCAGACAGCGGGTACCGGCCAGCCAGGCCAGAGTGGCGGGAGTGAGCTGCAGCCAGGCTGTACAGAACCTCTGCCCCCCTGCCCAGAGAGAGAAGTTAGCTGCCAGCCTGCACCACTCCCCAGGGCCCACCCACGCTCTGCCAGTCCAGCCTCCTTCCTTCCCACCCCTTCTCTACCTGCCCTGGCCTCTGGGCCTAGCTATTCCCTTCTGAGCCGATCCAGCCCCTCCTTAAATCCCACAGCCTGGAAGCGGGGACAGGGTCTCACCGTAGGTGGGCTTCCAGGACTCGGTCTAAGCTCTTGTAGAAGGGCCGGGAAGTGTAATAGCCTGTCCAGTAATGATCCTCCCGGTCCGCATAGGAGAAGAAATCCCCGCTCAGCACAGGAAACCCTGGAGGCCGGGCCCCTGGCTCCACCCCTGTCCTCTTGTACAGGGCATCAAAATAGTCAGAAAGAGTGCCAAACTGGGCCTGTGGGAACCCCAAAAACCCACTCCCATCAGTTCTAGAGCCTCCTGGAAATTGTGGCCACAGTGCTGCAGTCAGGGGTGAGGCAGGGGCTCTGGCCTCAGAAGCAGGAACTGTATATCCTGCCATTCTGGACTTAACAGAAGTGGGGGAGCCTGGGAATTAATTCTGACACAAAAGAGGCACCTTGCCCAAGAGTTGGGAAGGAACCCCTGCTTTGGAGTTGGGAACCCAGGGCACGGTCTCACAGGAAGGGGTGGGCTGCAGCACTGCGAGGTCCCCTCCCCAGACAAGTTCCCCTCACACCTGTACATGGAGGTTAGGCCTGCTGTTGAAGAAGTCAAAGAGCCGCTGGTAGTTGAAGAACTGGGCATCCCACTCCTGGGGCTTGTCGTATCGGAAGTCATCTCCAAGAGGCACGAGGAGGACGTTGCTTCGGAACAGGCGGGACTTCTTCCGGTATTGGTCCAGGAGCAGGGCTGCCCTGGGGCAGGAAAAAAACATGGGCCCAACATGAAGTGTCATCAGTAAAAGAGCGCCACGCACAGCCATCCCACCAGCAAGCCCCTGGAAGACATCCCGTCCATCAAGGAGTGGTTCAGCGCAGATGGACACCTCCCGCACATGAATACCAGCCCCAGGGAAATCCAGTGTTCTCTGGGCAGTTCTGACAGCCGGAATGTTGTTTTTTATGCTTAGGCTGTTGAGATCTTTTGGGATCCTTGTTCTGACACTCCCGCCTCATTTTGCCCACAAGTTAGTGATGCAGCACCAGAGTTAAGAGTCTGGATCCCGGAGCCACATCACACCAGCTCCGCAAGTACTAGCTGAGGGACCGTGGGCAAGTAACCTCTCTGAGCCTCCGTGTCTGGCAAAATAAGGATAACATCAGTAGGTACCCATATAATGTTATGAGAATTAAAATGGATTGAATGGGCTGAGCGCAGTGGCTCACGCCTGTAATCCCAGCATTTTGGGTGACCAACGCAGGCGGATCACCCGAGGTCAGGAATTCAAGACCAGCCTGGCCAACATGGTGAAACCCCGTATCTACTAAAAATACGAAAATCAGCTAGGTGTGGTGGCGCACACCTGCAATCCCAGCTACTTGGGAGGCTGAGGCAGGAGAACCACTTGAACCCAGGAGGTGGAGGTTGCAGTGAGCCGAAATCACACCACCACACTCCAGCCCGGGGGACAGAAACTCCGTCTCAAAAAATAAATAAAAATTAAATGAATGGAATGAATATTTGTTAAACACTTAGAACAGTGCCTGGTACATAATAGGAACTATACATAAACATTTATTTTCTTTTCATCCAAATTATTGGCAAAATCAGCAGAAAAACAGCCCTGTGGCATATCAGCAGAAGCCCTTTCCTGCTTTAATTGGCATGTTATAAATATCACAACCCAAAGAGTCAACTAATCTACTTAGCGGCGCTGGCCCAGCTTGTACTTTTCTACTTTGTTCTCGTGAGAGGATTCCTCAAATACTACTTTCCCCTAACTTACCAGTCTAGTAAGCCTTTCAAAGGAGAAAATGATTACCTTTCAGGGCCTGTTCTTACAAACCCAGGCCAGCCTCACTGATCACAACTGCCGCTTTAAGAAACATCATGCCTTCACAGCCCTAGACTCTTGCCTGGAATCAGCATTTAGACTTCTGGAAACAAAAGACCACTTTATTTCCCTTTTGGTCACGTGTTTCAACTCTTGGACATCAGGGAGAAATCAGAGCATTGCAACATAAAAACCAGTCCAACTTGTTGTATTCTTAAGGTTCTGACTAAATTGCCTTTTGGATCAACTCTTCACCAACACTTTCGCCTGGGCCCTGATTTCAACAAGAGTGATATCTTTAGGGGTCCCTAAATTTTCTCAAAGGGGACAGGTCTGTTTTCTCAGAGGCTGGAGGCTATCTTGCGGGACTGAATATGGATCTGAACAGGATTCTCGTGGTTGACTTAAAGCCAAGTCAGAACACTGGCACTAAGTGAAGACACAAGAGTCTGAAGTTTGTAAGCTACAATGCCTAACAAGGGAATCATTCACCTCTAAGCTGTCACCTTGCCCTGGCAGTTTGTTAGAGCACCAAAAAGTACTCACATGAGAAAATAAAAGTATTCTGTGAAAGGTGGTTGCTAGAGCCATTCGTTTTTCAGGAGACTTAGTAAGGAGCTGCTGCAGATGCTGTGAGCCTCAACTCACCATCTGAGCCCACCCTCCATGTGGCATGGCCCAGACCAGAGCCAGGCCTCCTGATTCCTCTGTGAAGTGAAAGGGCTGGAAGCAGATACCTCTCTGCCACATTGGCCTCTGTAATGGCCCGGGGTGGCACCTTCCAAGGGCAGTTGATGCGCCCTCCAGGCAGGCGTTTGAAATCAAACTGGCAGCAGATCTTGGGATCCGGGCCACAGGTATGGGGGATGTCATAGCTGTAGAAGGGCATCATGTGACAGAAGATGTCTGTGCTGGAGTCCGAGTCTGCAGAAGACACACCACGTGGTCAACGCCAGCAGGCAGCCTTTGGATGTCAGGAGGGCAAGGATCTGCTTGGGCAAAAGGCAGCCTTGATAGACCATGAGGCTGTAACTGGACCTAGGGCCGGAGAGAGTGTGTAGGCCAGGGGGAAAGACATGAGGCGCTCCTTCAGGGGATGGGCACACAGGGCACACTGAAGCCCTTGGGACAGCAGGCTCTGTAGAGGCCAGAGGTCAATGTGACCCTCCCCTAACCAGAGGGTGGGACCATTTCTGGCAGTCCACACCAGTGCCTGCAGGTCTGCTCTGAAGAACAGTGGGGGTCTTAGTTCTGATATCCCTGCTCTTCCCCAGTGAAGACTATGCTGCGTTGACCCCCTCTACCCTACCTGGCCTTACCCCATGTCTGCCTCCACATGAACTCTAGGCTGTGGGTGGCAGCAAAGTGCTTCTTGATGGCATAGTGCACTCTCTGAATCAGCATGCTGGTGAGGTTGGCACGGCGCAGCAGGTAAGGCATGGTGGAGCTGTGTCCAAAGGGGTCCACTGCCCAGCCAGAGCGGGGGGTTGCACCTGGGTAGGGCATGGAAGCTAGAGAGGCCCTGAACACACCTCAGGGCCTGGTCTCTCAGCCTCCCAGGTGCTGGGACCCCAGGTCTTGTCTTGGTAGTCAGTGGACAGATTACATCACACCAGGCCCACATGATGGCCTGTCTAGAAAGGAACCACCCCCTGCTGATCCCTGTGCCTTACAGCCCCCTGCCATAGCACTGTGGGCCCAGTCCAGGGGGCAGACCCCCATGCCTGGGCCTGGACTCACCAAGATTTCTCTCCAGCCACTGGTGTCCTTCAATGAGCTGGTCAATCAATGCAAAGTAGTGGGAGTTGGCCTCATCTGGCATCACCCAGCCTCCTGTCGCAATCTCCAGCTGCCCGTTTCCCACCAGCCTATAGTTAAGGACTCACACTCAAGATGGAGCAGGACGCTTTGCCCAGTCCTGGCAACAAGAAATTGTCAGGGCCTGTGTGCACTGGCCTCACTGAACCAGTTCTCCCAAGCCCAGGACCAAGAGAACATACACTTGCCCTCCTTTCCTTGCAGCCAACCTCCCTGCTGTTCTGGCCCCGCTTATCTCAGAACCTCTATCTGTTCTTGCCTTCCCTCCCTCCACCATCACTCATCTCTGCCACAGCTCCCTGGGCCTCTCCCTGCCACCTTGGCACCCACAGCTTAAGGTAAGACCCATCCACCCAGCCTAGGGCTCAGACGATGCCCTCCCACGCCTCTCCGCCTAGCACTGGCCTTCGGACTGCCGCTCTCTTTTGGGCATTGATGTTGTCCCACCACTTGGCGAAGAAGGAGACCTCTGCCCAGAGGAAGCGCCGCCGGGGGTCCTCCTGCAGCTTAGACACCATGCTATTGAGGATGTGTTGGGTCTGCTCTGTGTAGTACTTGTCAAAGGTCTTGATCCAGCCTAGGGAGCCAATGTAAGATCCCCTGAGGATGCCACCATCTTCTTCGACATCCCTCCCTTGCACTGGCCATCAGAAATCCCACTCCACACTCCAGCTCCCAGGAGTCTGCGGGGCCCTCACCTGGGTCATTGTGAGAGTGGGGCACCACAAACACCTGCAGGTCTTCAGCATCCCAGTCGTGCGGGTCATAGGAGATGTCGAAACCTTGCCTCCACACGCCACCATCCACATTGTCAAACGGCAACTCCTCCGACACAGTGAGCATCTGCCAGGTGAATTGCAGCTCAGTGCCCCAATTGTGGCCGCTGTACATCCCTGCCAGCTCTGACTCTTACCTGCAGCTCTGGCTTCTGGCCCCGGCCCCCCAAAGCAAACTGGCAGTCCTGGGGGGAGATGGAGAAGAAGCTGGGCCGGGGCTCCGGGGGCACCACCCAGGAGCCATTGACCGTGTAGTAGGGCAGCATGGCGGGCGGGCCCTCTGCATTGGCTGTCAGCTCCAGCACAGAGTCCTTGATATGGCTGATAATCTCATGGTTCTCCTCCAAAAGCTGCTCCAGCTGCTCAATGCGGTTCTGCAGCACAGAAATTTGGCTCTGCCAAAAAACCAAAAAGCAATCACACACAGCTCCTTATGCCACAGGGAGGGTCTCTGCTTGGGGTTCACCAGCTGAGGTCTAACTACAATTCTTCCCTCATCAGTTAAAGCCAGACCATGAGCCTACAGGGATAGATTATACCATTCAGACAAAGGGAGTTGTGCACCTCACCACTGAGGACTACACTCCACTTGGGTTGGGAGAACCTTCACTGTCTAGCCCAGGGCAAAGATTTCCTTTCACATACCTGTTCTCAACAATCAGTGTTGTCTGTGCTAAGAAGGATTTCAGTGGGGCTTAATGGCAAAGAATGCTGCAATCAATTAGCAATGTCTGCCAAGAATTCAAGAGGGGCTGGGCACAGTGGCTCACACCTATAATCCCAGCACTTTGGGAGGCCAAGGCAGGTGGATCACCTGAGGTCAGGAGTTCAAAACCAACCTGGCCAACATGGCGAAACCTCATCTCTACTAAAAATACAAAAAGTAGCCAGGCATGGTGGCAGGCTCCTGTAGTCCCAGCTACTCAGAGGCTGAGGCAGGAGAATCACTTGAACCAGGGAGGCAGAGGTTGCAGTGAGCCAAGATTGCGCCACTACACTCAAGGCTGGGCGACAGAGCGAGACTCTGCCTCAAAAAGAAAAGAAAAGAATTCAGGAGAACAGAGCAACAATACTCATTGCCATTGACATTTGTTTTCTTCCTTCCTTCTTTTCGCCATCACTGTTTTTAGCTGAGGTTTCTACAAAACCTGACTATTACTCCTGTCCTGTACTGACATTACCCTCCAGCGGGGTGGTGGGGGGTGTCGGCGGGGCGAGGGGGGCGGGCAATACCCTGAACCCAGGTGACTTGTATACAAAGAAATTAGCAACCAGGCACGACTCACCCGGGGGAAGTTCCCACCATTCTGGTGTCGAGTGGGATCATGCTGCACTCGGTCCAGCATGAGGTAGAGCGAGAAGACTGCCACACAGAAGATAGCAGCCCCACACACTGTCACCTGCTTTTTCAGCTTCATACTGGCCTCCACATACACCTGGCAGGAAGGACACCATCTGTACCTCCAGCATGCAAAATCTCCATGGCAGTCTTTCCACCAAATGCCCCAGTGAGTTCCTAAGGGCTGTTCCCAAGGAACACCCATTTGCCTGGCTCTAATAAAAAGCCAGCTTTGAAATGCCAAAACCCAACACCAGTTGGGGATCCTGACCCAGCCTTGATTTTATTGTCTTGCTGAGACTCAGAGCACAAGTAGCACATCTGGGGCTGGCCCCACCTGGTCCTGGTAGCAGCTCTGCCCCTAGGGTGAAGAGGACGTTCTCCTTTGGCTGGTGCTGTGAAAAATGGGCCCAGGATGAGAGACCCAGCTCCGACTGGAGTGTGCCACACAAGCTCCTGATTACAACAGCTTCCCTGCCTAGATAGGAGGTGCCTGTTCAGGCTCCTCGGCCATGTGCTTCTAGTTTCAGGTGAATAAGCTGGTTTCTATTTTGTTTGATTTAAAAGTTTAGCCAGAACCCAAAGAGACTAATAGGAAAGTCTTTCTCAGTGCCCTTTAGGGTCAAACTGGCACTCACCAGCAACAGCGCCTGGCACAAATCCTTTCTCAGAAACACAGAATGCATTTCTTTCTAATAAAGAAGAAAGATGCTTGTGTTTCTAGCATAAAGCAAGCCCTATGTGTTCTCCCTGTTTGTATACTGATTCCTGCAGTGGGAAACTTCCAGCCGCGGTTTGCAGAGCACTTAGGGGACCCCTAGGAAGCCTACAGTGATGCCGAAGGCCCCCTGGGAAGGGAGAGACCGGGTCCAGTGGTCGGTTGCGAGGCAACTTCAGGGGACCCGTGCCCCCAGCCGCCACCGCCCTCAGGCCCCGCTTGCCTGCTGAGGAGGAGGGAGGAGACGCTAACTGCCGAGCCGAGCGTGGGCGGGACGGCGCTCCGGTGTCCGCTCCGCGGGCCCTGGGGCCGAGGAGCTCTGTCGCCTCTGCGTTGTGCCCTACTTAGCGCGATCTGATTCTGCTCGGGAGCCTTCGGGCAATATTTTTAGCCGTTAGAGACTGGGTCCAGGCCAGTGTGGGTGGAGCTGGGGAGAGAGTTGGATCACAGAGGACAGGCACCTGCCGCCGCGTCTCTGGCCGCCCGCGCGCCGGCCCGGCTGCCTCCCCACCCGCCCCGACTCCGTCGGCCCCGGGGACCGCAGAGACAAGAGCCCGGTCCGGGCCTCAGGCCGCCTCCAGCCCCCTCCCGGCCCCTCTGACGCCGCAGCGCCGATCGCGCTCCCGCCGCCGGAGCCGGAGCCCGGCCTCGGTCGGGGCAGCCAGAGCCCTCCCCCGCGCGCACCCGGCCCGTTACCGGGCGCCTCCTCCGAGCCGCTCCGGGCGCCGTCGGCCGAGCTGCCGGTCCTCACATGCCCGGGGGCGGCGGCCCGCGCTCAGGCAGCGGCGCAGGCAGCGACGCAGGCGAAGGCGGGTGCCCGCCCATCCGTAGCCCTCTGCTCCGCGCGCCTCAGCCGCGCTGCCGCTGGACCCAGGGCCGCCGGCGCGCTCCGCTGCGCCCGCCCCGCGCGGGTCCGCCAGCCTCTGAGGCTGCTAGGCAGAGCAGCGTGCGGGGCGGGGATAACCGCGCCGCCCGCCCCGGCCTGCGTGCGCCGGGCTGAGCTGACAGGAGCTCGGGCTTCCCGGGCCCGCTCCGCTGGGCCGCAGTGCGCAGCCGCAGCAGCCCGGGCCGGGCCTGGCGAGCTGCGAAACCTCAGAAGGGACGCGCGACTGAATTTTTTCGGAATCCTACCTGAGTAAGCACATTGTCGGGCAGTGGTCGAAACGCCAGCCTCCGTCTCGGCAGCCGCCTAGCGGGGTGCGTTCTCCGCGGCCTCACCCCGCTCCGGCCCAGGTAGCCTTAGGTTTCTGTCGTTGCGCCTCTCGGGCAAAGGGGTGCTGCCTCCTGTTGGTACAGCGCGTTCATCGAGTCCCTTTCCTTTCCCTGCCTGCTCTATGTTTCCTGCCAGCGCATGAAAACGACACAGACTTTTCTTAGTTGTTTCCCTTTTACTGAGCATCTAGGTTGTTGACAGTTTTTCAGTGTAATCCATACTGCCCTGAACATCTCCATGAATTCCACATTTTTTTTCTTTTTAAGTTATATATAACTTATGATCTGAATGTGATCCCCCAAATTCATGTTGAAATCTAACCCCTCAAGGTGATGATGGTATTAGGAGGTGGGCCTTTGGGGGTGAACAGAGTTTGAAGGGAGAGCTCTCATGAATGGGATTAGTGCCAGTATGAAATGACCCAAGAGTCGGCTCCTTCCACCACATGAGAACACAGCTAGAAGGCACACTGTGCACCACAGGCAGGCCCTCACCCGACACTAAATCCGCTTGTGCCTTATCATGGACTTCCCAGCCTCCAGAACTGTGAGAAAATAAATTTCTGTTGTTAATAAACTACCTACTTTATGGTATTTTGTCCTAACAGCCCAAACAGATTAAGACGTTATTTTATGATGAATTTGCAACAATGAAGTTACCCGGGCAAAAGATAAGGACAGAAATGACTGATGACACTATTGCCCCCCAAAAGACTGTACCAGTTTACACCATCAATAACAAACTGTTGGATATTGCTTAAACAATGTTTTAGTTGATTAATCAGATATACAATGCCATCTCATTTTTTAAAATTTTCCTTTAAGTTCTGGGATACATGTGCAGAACATGCAGGTTTGTTACACAGGTATACATGTGCCATGGTGGTTTGCTGCACCCATCAACCCATCATCTAGGTTTTAAGCCCCACATACATTAGGTGCTCTCCCTCACCTTGCCCCCAACCCCCGACAGGCTCTGGTGTCTGATGTTCCCCTCTCTGCGTCCATGTGTTCTCATTGTTAACTTCCACTTATGAGTGAGAACATGTGGTGTTTGGTTTTCTGTTCCTGTGTTAGTTTGCTGAGAATGATGAATGCCATCTCTTATTTAACGACCATTTATATTTTTTTTTGAGACAAGATACTGTTTGCCAGGCTGGAGTGCAGTGGCACCATCTCAGCTCACTGCAGCCTTGACCTCCAGGACTCAAGCTATCCTCCCACTTCAACCTCCTGAGTAGCTGAGAGTTACAGGCATGTGCCACTACACCCAGCTAATTTTTTGATTTTTAAATTTTTTTATTTTTATTTTTTGAGACGGAGTTTCATTCTTGTTGCCCAGGCTGGAGTGCAATGGTGCGATCTTGGCTCACTGCAGCCTCCGCCTCACAGGTTCAAGCGATTCTCCTGCCTCAGCCTCCCAAATAGCTGGGACTATAGGCACACACCATCACACCTGGCTAATTTTGTGTTTTTAGTAGAGACAGGGTTTCACCATGTTCTCCAGGCTGGTCTCGAACTCCTGACCTCAGGTGATCCACCTGCCTCGGCCTCCCAAAGTGCTGGGATTACAGGTGTGAGTCACTGTGCCCGGCCCTACTTTTTTTATTTTTTGTAGAGTGGGGGTCTCACTGTGTTGCCCAGGCTGGTCTCCAGCTCCTGGACTCAAGTGATCCTCCCACTTTGGCCTTCCAAAGTTCCAGGATTACAGGTATGAGGCACAGTGCCCAGCTTTTTTTTTTTTTTTTTGACAGGCTCTTGTCTGTCACTCAGGCTGGAGTGCAGTGGTGTGATCATGGTTCACTGCAGCCTTGAACTCCTGGCCTTGATCCTCCTGCCTCAGCTTCCCAAAGTGCTGTGATTACAGGGATGAGCCACTGCACTCGACTGCCATTTCTTTTATCACCATCAGGAACAGCTTTCCAGGTTTGTTTACTCACTGGAATGCCTGTTATTAGGGTGTTAGACCTAGACTGGGCTCATCATCCTCTTTGTCTTTTCATGGGGAGATTTATTTTCCAGCCCTTCTATTGAATTTTCCATTTTGGTGATAATTCTTTTTTTTTTTTTTTTGAGACAAAGTCTCACTGTGTCACTTAGGCTGAAGAGCAGCGGCGCGATCTCAGCTCACTGCAGCCTCTGCCTCCAAGGTTCAAGTGATTCTCGTGCCTCAGCCTCCTGAGTAGCTGGGATTATAAGCGCACACCACCATGCCCGGCTAATTTTTGTATTTTTAGTAGAGACAGGGTTTCACCATGTTGGCCAGGCTGGTCTTGAACTCCTGACCTCAGGTGATCTGCCCACCTCAGCCTCCCAAAGTACTGGGATAACAGGTGTGAGCCACCACACTCAGCCTCATTTTGGTGATAATCTTAATTTTCTTTTTTCTTTTGAGATGGAGTTTCGCTCTTGTTGCCAGGCTGGAGTGCAATGGCACGATCTCAGCTCACCGCAACCTCTGCCTCTGGGTTCAAGCGATTCTCCTGCCTCAGCCTCCCAAGTAGCTGGGAGTATAGGCATCTGCCACCAAGCCCGGCTAATTTTGTACTTTTAATAGGGATGGGGTTTCTCCATGTTGGTTGGGCTCATCTCGAACTCCCAACCTCAGGTGATCTGCCCACCTCAGCCTCCCAAAGTGCTGGGATGACAGACATGAGCCACCGCGCCCGGCCGGATAATCTCAGTTTTCAAGAATTCTTGTTTGTTCTCTGGTGGTTCTTTTTTAAAAACTGAGGTACAGTTTACACTAGGTGGCACAAATCTTAAGTGTACAGCTTGATGAGTTTTGATAAATACATACACAAGCACAATCACCACCCAGATCAAAATGCAGGACATTCCCATCTACCCAAAAGGTTCCCCTGTGTCAAGTGGTCAAGCAGTCCCTAAGCACAGCATAGTGGTTGTCAGACTGTCGTCCAGCTTTGCCTACGTGGCCCAAGTAGAGACGTCCATGGTTGTAAGGGCACCATGGTGAACCTTTTCCCCTACATCTTCTCACACCTTTCCATCAGTCCCCTCCAGACATAAGCACTGCTTTGACTTCTCTGTAACTTAGTTTTGCCTGTTCTTGAACTTCATAAAATAGAATAATAAGTATGTACTCCTTCATGTATGGCTTCTTTACTCAGTATGTCTTTTTTTTTTTTTTTTGAGACAGTCTTGCTGTCACCCAAGCTGGAGCGCAGTGGTACGATCTCAGCTTACTGCAACCTCTGCCTCCTGGGTTCAAGTGATTCTCATGCCTTGGCCTCCTGAGTAGCTGGGATTACAGGCACGTGTCACTACACCCATCTAATTTTTGTATTTTTATTAGAGACAGGGTTTCACCATGTTGGCCAGGCTGGTCTCGAACTCCTGGCATCAAGTGATTTACCCACCTTGGCCTCCCAAAGTGCTGGGGTTATAGGCATGAGCCACTGTGCCCAGCCACATGTCTTTGACATTCATCAATGTTGGTGCATATATTAGTGTTTTGTTTTGTTTTTATTGCTGTATATATGTTTGTGTCATTTTCTGCTTGTTCTGGACCTAAGTTTTCTCTCCACTTCTTCTGTAACTTGAATTACTCATATGGTCCCATGTTTCTTAGCTTCCATTCTTTTTTCCTCTCTGTACTTCAGTTTAGGTACCTCCTATTAACCTATCAAGTTCACTAATTCTGTTTTCTGATATGACTAATTTCTAACTGCGATTGTGATTTTATCCTTTACTTCTATCAATGTTTATGAAATCCATCCAATGAGTTTGTAATTTCAGAGGTATTTTTCAGTTCAGTAGGCTCTTTTCATTCTCTTTTAATAGATTCCAATTCTGTTGACATTCTGTACATTTGTTTCTTTTTGTCCATCTTCTTCTCTATTTGACATATTAACCATAGTTATTTAAAAATCTTTGCCAGTTCCAATATCTGGATCATCTGTGGGTCTGGTTTTATTGTTTATTTTTTCTCTTGTGTATTAGCCCCATATTTCTCCATTTTTTGCATGCTTTATGATTTTTAATTGTATGTCACATATTGGGTATAAAAGGATAGGGGCTTCAAATCTTGTTATTCCCTATAGGAGCTAGTCACCTCGATTCAATTAAGTACTAAACTGGGTTGGGGCAATGTTGCAGTTCCAGTAAAACTCAATCCCCTCCTGGTTGTCCTTGTTCCTTAGGAATGACCCTCTTGATTTTGGATTGAAAGACTGGTCAGTCTCTGTCTCTCTCAGATCTTAAAGTTCTGCTCTTCAGAGATTTATAGGGAGCTCTTTAGCTTCCCAACCCACACAGGTACAAAACCTGGCAAATACCTTATGTTGGGGAGGCCAGCTATTTGTTCACTCCGGGCCTCCTCTCTAAACACTGCAAGACTGTAGGACTTGTCTTCTCAGTCTCCTGCACTGCCTCAGAACTCAGCAAATGTCCCATGGGGAAAACGCTCTGCATTTTGTGCTACTCTAGGTCCTAATCCATAGCAAGTCCTTGCAACCACCAAAAACTGTTCCTTTCTGTCTTCCCCAGTAGAGTCTCTCTGCTTGGGCCAAGTCTGATCCTCATGTCCCAAATGGGCAAATGTTTCAGGGAAGAAAATAGCTGCCTATCACTAGTTCAACTCGGAAGGGCTCTTTCCTCCTTGAACTTTTAGTCCATTCATTCTTTATTTCTGTGACCACTCTTCATTCTTTTTAAAAATAAGATATTTTCGGCCAGGCGTGGTGGCTCATGCCTGTAATCCCAACACTTTGGGAGGCCGAGGTAGGCGGGTCACTTGAGGTCAGGAGTTTGAGACCAGCCTGACCAACATGGTGAAACCCCGTCTCTACTAAATACAAAAAGTAGCCACGCGTAGTGGTGTGCGCCTGTAATCCCAGATACTCAGGAGGCTGAGGCAGGAGAATCACTTGAACCCGAGAGGTGGAGGTTACAGTGAACTAAGATTGCGCCACTGCACTCCAGCCTGCGCAACAGAGCAAGACTCCGTCTCAAAAAAAAAAAAGACATTTTCATCTTAGCTTTTTCCCTAGCAGTTGCAATGGGAGTGGTGGCGTGTGGAGATCTACCATCCCCTACCCAGCAGAAGTGTTTCAGTTCTGCTTTCTACCATTTCCATTGGAGGTATTATTTCACTTCCTAGTATTTTTACTTAATTACACGACAACACAACTTCCTCTTGTTTAAACAAGTTATAGGGCTCTCTCTCATCTCTTTCAAAATAGATTTTTGTTTTGTTTT